CCAACAACCTGGGCTTGAGCACCTAAAGATGAATTTTGGACTATTTTGCTAATATTATTTTAACATTTTAGGATTCTGACTATGGCCTTGTTTAACCAGGTTATATTCCTTTACTTTGTTAAATGTTCATCCTAAATCAGTTTGCCTATTCTCCTTCCTTTTCTTTTCCTCTTAAGCGGAAGGTGAATTAAAGAATAGAATTTTTTACCACTCCAACATAAAACTAAAGCCCAAGGTAGGACAAATATAAAAGCTAGGATTTCAGAGGTTTAGGGCCCTCTATTCACCAACAGATCACATTCATTTTAAGTACATATCAGATCTACATGGTGAAAACTACCAAAGTACACATTAGAAAACTTTCAGTGGATCCGCTGTGGCACAGAAATGACCAAGTAGAGTGAGATCCTAGGTCTGTGATAGGCAGAAGGTGACAGAAATCTGGTTCGGACATTTCTTAAATGTCAGGTTTTGCCAGTGGTGGGAGGGAGTAAGAGCAAAATAGAAGTACTGCAGAGCTGCTAATTAAAACAATTCAGAGAACATAAATGCTAGAGTAATTTTGGACCCACCATATCAGGCTGGTTTCAATGCAAATGTAGTGTTCCGATTTCCTCCTTCATTGGGAAGATATAATTAGCTCAGCTGCAACAGGGTGGAAGCCTTGAGGCAGCCGTTTCCCGGTGCTGCCAGCTCCCCCATGGTGGAGAAACAGCTGCCACCCGCCGCTCCTGCCCCAAACCACACAGAGCTGTGGTCACCTCACAAGGCTGTGCATAAGTCACCCTGAGCAGAAGGCTTGGGCTGCCAGTGGGACTGGTTCTTGCTTAAAGATAAGGGACATGTTACTCCTCAATAAAGTTGACTCCAGGCCCAATCACCGCCCTCCTATATAAGAGAGCCTTGGCTAACAGAAAAATCGTTCCCCATTATTATGGCAGAGAGGATATTTAATACAGGTGATGACAAGCAACATCATTTACAGCAAGTTGTCACCTTGGAGGGTGCAGGCTTCTGAAGAAGATCATAGGAGAATAAGGAAGAAAAGGTGCCTGCAAATGAGAAACCCAGACTTTAAGGAGAACACATTTCTCGACTACTGTGACAGAAAAGATGAAGAGGCACCATGATGGGGAGGGGTTTAATGCCAAGGTTATAGATGATGCAACAGGTAGATAACTGATGTGACAGCCAAGAAGGTCCTGGGAAATCGCCACTGTAAGATGTCCTGGAGTTCGCCTACAAGCACAGAACCATAGCTTCTGCTTGTCTTTCTCACAAATTCAACAGGATGGACTCCACTGATACGCTTTTGATGTTTTAATAAGCAAAAAATATTCTACAGAGGAGTTCCATAATGATAAATACTTTCATGGAACCAAAACGTGAACCATCATTTTGAAATTTCAGAGAAGGCAAAATGAGTCATTGATTTCTTAGTTTTCCTAACTACTATCACATTGCCAGGTCTTACATCTCTCGCCCACTTTTCCCACCTATACCTGAGGCCAATATAAGTCTGGTTCTTTTTCCTCCTCCTCAGTGGGAACAACAAACAACCAAGTGAACGTTACAAACGCTGCAGCTGCACCTGAGCAGTGACCATGGTGTGGGGAATAAACATGGCATCTTAATGTCTGGGATAGTTCCAAGAACACTTAACAAATAAGGAACTAGGAATCATTCTTTTCTCCAGTCTATCAGAAGGAAGTACTTCAGGAATATGGCATCTAAGTGCGGGATTTTCTTTGTAACATATAATAAAATAAAGTAGACGGAAAGATGTTTTTTATATGAAAACTAACCCTTTATGTTTAATGTCATTGTTTTGTTAGTGTTGCCTTTTTCAGGTTTGAGATATAATTTATATACCATAATATTTACCCTTTTAATGTACACATTCAAAGATTTTCAGTGTATTTGCAAATATACTAAACAACTGCTACACAATTCTAGAACATTTTCATTACCTCCAAAAGAAACTCCATGTCCAGTAGCTGTCGTGCCTCATTATCCACTGCTCCCAGCCCCTGGCAACTACTAATCTACTTTCTGTCTCCATGGATTTGCCTTTTCTGGACATTTTATATAAATGGAATCATATAATATGTGACCTTTTGTGTCTGGCTTCTTTCACTTCCCATAATGTTTTCAAGGTTCATCCATGTTATAGCATGAATCAGTACTTATTCCTTTTAATCAGTAAATAATCCACTGTATAAAGTATGATATTTTGGTCTATTCATCAGTTGATAGATACTAATATTATTTTCACTTTATGGCTATTATGAATAATGATGCTATTTTATCTTTGTACAAGTTTTTGTGTGAACATACAATTTCAATTTTCTTGGGTCTATACCTCGGAGTGGAATTGCTGGGTTATATGTTGTTGAACATTTTGAGGAACTGCCAAACTGTTTTCCAAAACAGCTGCACCATTTTACATTCCCACTAGCAGTTTAGGAGGGTTCCAATTTCTCCACATCCCCATTAACAGTTGTTTTTGTCTGCCTTCTTCTTACTGCCATCCCAGTGGGTATAAAGTGGTATCTCATTGTGGTTTTGATTTGTATTTCCCTAATGACTAATGAGGTTGAGCATCATTTCATGTGCTTATTGGCCATTTGTATATTTTCTTTGGAGACATCTCTACTTAAATCCTTTGCCAATGTTTTAATTGAGTAATTTACTTTCATATTGTTGAGTGTTTCAGTCTCTTTCCTTTGAATTATTATTATTATTATTATTTTTTTTTAAGATTGTAGAAAAGGACATTGGGTTCCACCTAGTTCATTCCTGGCTTTGGAAATAAAGCATAACTTTACTGGTTTGGATAATGATATGGTAAAACATTTATTGGGCACTTACTCTGTGCCAGATACTCTGTGACCTTCGTTAACTTACTGATAAAGAGAAAGCTGTTGCTTAGGCCACATATTTCTCCCTGAGATGCTCATCACAATCAGCGAAGCTTTCCCTTAGGGAAGCACTCTGTGTTTTTTTTTTCTCCTGAGACAAGGAGATGCCCCATTCCTGCCTCCCACCAAGGAAGCAGAGCTAACAGAGAGATGCATCCATTGTTAATAAACAACCATCCCACTTTAGATAAGTAGTATAAACTAGTCATCTCTAGACTAAGGACAGGTGCTTTGAAACTCTATGTTGAATGCTTGAAGTTGGAACTATGCTCTTGTTTTCTACAAATAAACCAAAGAGAATCTTTTTCAATTCGGCTTCCATTCCTTCTTGCTATATAAAATGTGGATAATGCTTATGGAGATGACAAAGAAAAAACCCCACAAATCATTCTACAGAAGAACATACAGCGAGGCATTGTCTTAGACCAGCAATTTTCAACCTCTTTCATCTCATGGCACACGTAACTAATTACTAGAATTCTGCAGCACAACACAGATTATATTTTTTGTGTATGTCTATTGTATATGTATACATGTAAATAGGTATGTTTTTTGTCGATCTGACAAAAATATGTATAATTTCGATCCATTCACACCATCTGGCTATTGTTGTATTGACTGTCGCCATTTTTTTATTTGACAATCTAAGGAGAAAGAGGTTAGTGGCCCTGACAAATAGTCAGGTATTCATGTCTTAAAAATACTTATGGCACACAAGTTGAAATCACTGTGTTAGACTAATTGTAGCAAAGCTGGCTCAGCTACAGTCCAGAGTCATTGAAGGTGCCGGGGCGGCAGTGAGAACTGCAGGAAACAGACTGAGAAGGCTCCTCCTCAGAAATAAATCATAAAGAGAAGAGCAAAAGTGAGGAGAGGCATTTTGCTCACTAGTCCTACCTTGTTATGAAAGTTAGTCAAGTTATATGTTTTATCCTCTTAGGCAATATGCATATGGCACATTTATTCCTTTCCTTTCTTATTCTCTTCTCTTGAAATTCCAGAAAAACACGGTAACCAAATTGAGGGTTTGAGGTGGTTGCACACCACACACATCTTTTCTTTCAATATCATGGCTTTAAGGTTTCCAGAGGTGTCCCTTTTCTCTCATACCCAAGCCTCAAGATCTCAGTTAACAAATATAACATGGCAAAGAGGCCAATTCCTGGTAATCAGTGGATTTGAATTATTGTCTATAATTCTATCTCTTAGTGCATGTAGTGGTGCAGCCCCAGATGGGCTGTGTGGGGCTCTTCAGAAATAGGCAGGATAGAACTTGTCATCTCTCACTAAGGCTACCAGCTAATCCAATTCCAACTAAGGTGGTTCTGTGTGGGAACTTCCAAGGCCTGGTGTACTATTATTCATGTAAAAAGTTCATCTTAGGTCAAACTTCAGACAAAGGCTCCAGACATAATTTCACAGAATCAAGTGCAAATCTCAAAATCCTTTAACTTTATGCCCTCCAGGAACTCTCCCAAGCCCTCAGGTTTCCCTTGCAAAATTCTCAGGCTGACAATTTTCCTCATGGAGACATCACACACCGCTCTGGAAAGCCATGAAAAGAGCAGGCTAGGTGTTGTGGGTTGAACTGCGCTCTCCCCAAATGTATGTGTTGAAGCCTTAACCCCCAGTACCTCAGAATATGGCTGTATGACCCATTGCTCTAGAGCCAAACTCTCTCTCCATATTTTGGTTTTGTTGTCTGCTTGTATGGCTGTATTATAAAGAACTGATTAAGTTAAAATGAGGCTGTTAGGGTGTGCCCTACCCCAGTCTGACTGGTGTTCTCCTAAGAAAAGGAAACTTAGACACACAGAGAGACACCAGGGTTGTTTGTGCATGCACAGAAGATCCACGTGAGGACACAGAGAGAAGGCATTGACTGCAGGTCAAGGGGAGGAACTTACAATAAACCAACCCTGCGGTCACTTTAATCTTGGACTTTGAGAAAATAAACTTCTGTTGTTTAGGCCACTTAGTCCATGGTAGTTTGTTATGGCAGCCTTAGCAAACTAATATAAGCAGGGACTCCCAGGAAAAGAGGGCCCTGCGGTCCCCCTGGTGGGCGCAGCGACTCACCCTGTAGTAGTCAGTGCTGTACACGTCCCGGGACATGCCAAAGTCCCCGATTTTCACCAGGAGGTTCTCGCCGACCAGGCAGTTCCGGGTGGCCAGGTCTCGGTGCACGAAGTGCTGAGACGCCAGGTAGACCATGCCCGCTGCGATTTGCTGGGCGATGTGTAGCATCTGCGACTGCGTCAGCTCCGTCGGCGGGTTGCCTTCAGCCATCAGCACAGCGTCAGGTCCGTGTGCCCTGCAGAGGACATGGAAGGAGTGGTTGGAGCTGGAGCTCTGTGCCTGGGGGCGCTTTTTGGCTCCCCATCAGCCTCTGGTGCTAAAAGATGCTGCCTGACTTAGCATAAAGAAGAGGAAAAGATGCTTCACCCACAATTATACTTCAATAGCACCCAAGCTTCAATTGCCAGGGAGTCTAGAACTCCCAGGGCCATGTGGGTCTGAATGGTGCCCCGACCCCCAGCATACAGGCAGGTTCATGTTTTAGGGGCTCCAGAAGCACGCTGGGTTCAGGCATTGGCCAGAGCCCCTGCCCCTGGAAAGCAGTAGGTGGCTGAAGCGAAGCAAACAAGCAACAAGCAGACAACAAAACCAAAATATGGAGAGAGAGTTTGGCTCTAGAGCAATGGGTCATTGAGTTCCCCCCTTCTCCACAACTCCTCTCAGCCACACACTGCAGCTGAGCACCTGCCACCCAGGCTGATCCCTCCAGAGTGCCCCACCACTCTGTCAGTCCAGGGCCACAACTGACATCTCTCGTCTCCCTGATGCTACCTGCTCTGTGGTTTCCAAGCTGCCCTCATTCCCTGCAAACCCAATCCAGCAGAAGCCCAGGGCATCCTCAGCCTGGACATTCATTCCCCACAAAAAATACCATCTCCTTGTGCCCATCCCTCATGCACTGGCCGCCACGGAGGAGAGCTCCTTTGAATCACAGCACATTTATTCTTTTACTGGGGCAGCTTTTATTCTTTACACTTATGGGGGGAATTAGATTATGACATTTTATATCTTTTCTTTCTCAGTCTTACACACCAGCCTTTTCCCAACTGTGAAATGATTTAAGGCAGCAATTTTCAAACTTTTCCATTTCATGGCACATATAAACTAATGCCTAAAATTCTGTAGCTCACCAAAAATATATATTATATTTTTTGCAAATCTGACCAAAATAATAGGTATAATTTTGATTCATTCACACTACATGGGTATTGTGTTGGCTGCTGTCACATTTTTTTAATTGGTAATCTAAGGGAAAAGAGGTCAGTGCCTTTGACTAGTCAGGTATTGTGTGTTTTAAAAGTTCTTATGGCACGCTGGTTGCAAATCACCAATTTAAGGCATTGTAACACTGATAGGCATTCCAGGGAGGGGAGGGTCTCAGTCTTAGGATACGAAATCAGGACCTGCATCCCCTCTCTGGAACCCTGGGCGGTGAGCCAAGATTGGTGTCACTGCCCCTGGCAGCCAGAGGGGGTGCTGCGGGGCAAGAAGTAAAAGCAGGGTCAAAGGGCTTCATCCTCCCAAAGTCAGCGCCAAAGACATCTCTTCCCAGACAGCTTGAAACACTTAACATAAATATAGAGGATTTGAAATGAATTTTAAAGTGGTGAATAAATACACTTGCAGGTTTCTAGAGCTGTATGAGTATTTGAAAATGTGAGAGTCGGAATTTTCCAAGAAGCCCCTTCTAGAAGTCTCGTCCCACCCCTCCCCACACCAGCCCCACCCTCACATGGGATGAGTTACCTCCAGCACAAGCGTTTACACCTGTCCATCACCGCTCCAGCCCACATGATTCTCCCTTTTCTTGGTTTCTAAAACATGTTGTCATCTGCTCTTTCGTTCTTTTGTTCTCAGAGAACAGGCACTGGGCAAGGAGGTGGGGAGTTTCCCAGTCTCTGGCGTGTCCAGCACCACGATCTGGGGGAGCCTTTTAAATTTTCCAGTGTGTGATTTCCCCATCAATCAGAAATACAAAATGATATTATGCTGTGATCATTTAGGTCCTCTCTATCTCTAAATATCCGATCCTAGGGAGGAGCTTCCTGTTTTTGCTCAAGGCAAATTCTAACACTTTTATTTTACCTCCACTCAAACCACAGTCCCTGACCTCCTCTTGTGACAATGGGGAGCATTACACAGGGAAGTGCCTCGGAGACCTTTTCAGCTCAAAATCTCTCACTGGGGCAAACCGTCTTGCAGGGCAGTGGGCAAGGCTCCTGGGTATCAGAACTGAATTTGAATCCTGTCCGAACATAGTAGCTTTGACCTTGGGTGAGCTGCAGAGCTTCTCTGGACCTGATTCCTTATTTAGTAGAGAGGAGGCACTGACTGCACCTTCCTGAGCGTGCTGAGGAGAGAAGCAGTCACAATCCTGCTTTTACGGTATTTTGTGCCGTTTCATCAAAAAGTCAGAGAGGCCTTTACCTTTTTATGTTTTTGTTGTCAGAAATTATCCCTATTTATGCTGTGAGTTCACTTCTAAATTATAGTAGCTGTTGTCTTCTTTTCTTTTTTAATATTTTTACCTCCTTTAACTTTTATGTAAAGAGCAAAGGGGGTCAAATATATAGTGATGGAAAATTTGACATTGGGTGGTAAATACACAATATAATATACAGATGATGTATTATCAAACTGTACACTTGAAACCTATATAATTTTATTAACCAATGTCACCCAATAAACTTAATGAAATTTATTAAAAAGTCAGAGAGAATGCCCTGGCTGGTATGGCTCAGTGGGTTGGGCGTCATCCTACAAATTGAAAGGTCGCCAGGTCAGGGCACATGCCTGGGTTGTGGGCCAGGTTCTCATTTTGGGGTGTGCAAGAGACAACTGATATATGTTTCTCTCTTCCATCGATGTTTCTCTCCCTCTCTTTCTCCCTCCCTTCACCTCTCTCTAAAAATAAAATCTTTAAAAAAAAAAAAAGGCGGAGAGAAAGGCTATGCAAAGATCCTCTTTAAAAGATTTTTAAAAATTTTTACTTATTGATTTTAGAGAGAGAGAGAGAAAGGTGGGGAGAGAGAGAGAAAGAGAGACACTGATTTGTTGTTCCACTTATTTATGCATTCCTTGGTTGATTCTTACATGTGCCTGGACTGGGAATGAAAGCTGCAACCTTGGTGTTTCAGGATGATGCTTTAACCAACTGAGCTACCCAGCCAGGACCAAAGAGCCTCCTTTAATCTCAATGAAGAGGTGATATGAGAATGCAACCTATCCTTTGGGTACTTCTTTTTTGTGATAGGCCTGCGACAGCATTCTTAGGGCTTCCACAGGGCTGGCCCCTCCTACCTCACTAAAGCTTAATCAAGTCTAACCCTTCTCAGCACTAAGAGGCAGGGAAAGTGAGAATGTTTTCCCTTGTCTTAGGAGACCTTATGTGACCTCAGTACCAAGAGAAGGACCCAGGGGAGCACATAAACTATGGGAAATCCTGAAATGCCCAGAGAATCAAGGCCGGGATGAAATCTTCATAGATTTAGCACAAAGAGCAAAATAAGTTGTTGATTAGCCACAGCCTAGACTCCTCTAAGAACCTGTCCCTTGCAAAGACTGGGGAAAAGGAGAGGTTAGGGATCAGTGCAAAAGACCACCTCTGTGCAAAACCCCATCCTCTAGCCTTATACTCAGAAGGCGCCAGAAAGCTGGCAGCCCCCAAAGCCTCCTGCACTCTGCACTGCCATGTGCGGGGATGGGGCAGGCGCCTGCTTGCTTCCCTTGAACAGAAAGTCCTGCTGTAAATAAAGGGCAGGTAAATCTTCTAAACAAATTCTTATGAAGAGCATAAATAAAGTTAACATGATAGCCCTCAGTTTCACTCTGCAGGTTACCCTGCAGCTCTTGGAAAAAAAAAACATATCTCATCTCTTCCAGGAGATCATGCTTTTAGAGGGAAAAAGCCCCAACAGCACCCCAGCACGGAGAGCAGGAAGGTTCAGCAGTCTTCTGACCAGGGACGCGGCTAGCCCTTCCTTGGCTTGTGCTCTCTCCATGTGGGTCACAGTTGGCATTTAGCCACACTGTTCTGGCTCTGTAATCCCATAGCGCAGTACTTTCCTCCAATGTTTTAGCAGCCACCTCAAGGGGAAGGATGGCAGTGGCGAAAAACTGGGTTTTGCAGCCAGAGGCTGTGGGTTTGAATCCAAGCTGTCACTCACTAGCTGTGTGAACTCAGTTTCTTCAACTGTAAAAGGAGAACGATGGTAATAATAGTTTATAAAGTTGATGTGAATTACAATGTCTAAAATGCTTAGGAAGGCTTAACGAATATTAGTTCTTATTGCTTGAAAAAGCCTTGTTTATGCTCTCCTCATTAGACAGGAATTCTGGAAAGATGCTAAGAGGAGAAACTCTAATCTCCTTGAAAGCAACGTCTGTGTTTTACTCTTCATTTTTCAGCCAGCCCAGCACAGGGCCTGACCATGTTGGCACTCAGTGGATGCCCTTTGGATGAACAAAAAGGGTGGGAAGATAACTGCAGGCATCTGCCTTCACAGGGCCGTGCCAGTGACATTTGGGAACACAATTCATGGTAGTTTAAGGGCTGGGTTCCCTTAAGATGGACTGTTCGCAGCACAGTGTTGCACCTAAGAACCTGAGTCTTGGCATGGAAAACCTCTTGTTCCTAGAGTTCAGCAAGTTCTGAAATTGAGCAGAAGAGGTTTCTAATAGCTTCATGCCCTGCCCAAGATGCCAAGGGAGAATCCGGTGCCTGCTGCTTCTGGAGGGCAGGCAGGAGAGCTAGGGAGAGGTCATAGAGCCGAAAATGAAAGAATCAACACATACACACAGGTGCGTGCTACATACACGCAAACAGTCTGAGCTCACAGAGCATTTAATCGCATCCAGGTAAATACATGCGCATTTATTATGATTCAGTTTTGGGAAAGCACCATTTTTAACTAAAGAAGTAGCCCAGAGCATGGGAAAAAAGAAAAAATATTCTCCTCTAAGCAGCTAGACCTCAACCAAATTCAGTCCCTTTTTCTCCTTTCACATTAGGTCTGACAAGACAGGGTATGAAAGCCACCACCATCAACCTTTCTATCACTTACAAGAAAAACCTGGCTGACATTGGATAAAAATGATTAGGGTGATTGTCTCTGAACACCTCGAATTGGCTCTGTATTCCCAGTCTTACCTGGCATTTCATCACCCACACAATCAGAGCCAAAGCAGAGAAAGAGGACCCATCCCAGCAGAGAACTAAGTGCACATGTATTCATGAGGCTAGAGATGGTGAAAGGGATCCAGATGGCCACGTGATAACACTTCCAAACACAGCAGTGCAATCCCCCCTTCCACTGCTCCCTCGGCAATCGACTTATTACTTAGACCGCACCGTTTCTGAATCTTCCAGTGGCTGCATGAAGCTACTGGTACCAATCTCAGTGGAGAGCCCTCTTCAGCGCCCACAAAAAACAGAAGAGAACAGAGGTGTGGGAGTTACTGTAACACGGAAGGTATACTAAACGTCCCAGGAAAATGTGACAGGGAAGAAAGGTGAGGGGGCCACATTTATTGATTACCTCCCACCACAGTCCTGGCACTAGCCCTTTATGTGGATAGTATCATACCCCCTTTATACAAAAGGAAACTGAGGCCAGCCAAGGCGGCCTCAGATTAGTCACCTGCCCCCAACACTGTTCCTGTTTCTTTTAAATTATACCATTTACCAAGAAATCATAGGCAGCATGTTTACTAATCTTTCAAAGCCCAGGGCAGCTCTCTTTGAAACAAAACCGCATGTGTGGGCCATACACGACTTAGGAGGCTCTAACTTAGCCTCTCTGAACCAGGAAGACCCACGCCCACCTTGGGCCCCTCTCCTGCCTTGTCCCTTCCTTGCCGCACTGTACCTGAGGAACTTGTTGAGGTCCCCGTGCTTCATGTACTCGAAGACCATGATGAGCGGGTCACCCTCCACACAGACACCGTAGAACTTGACAATGTGCTCATGCTGGAGGTTGGTCAGCAGCTCGGCCTCACGGTGGAAGTCCTTGCGAGCGTTGTCACTAGCATCCTTCAGCGTCTAGGGATGAGGGGTAGAGAGGGGAGAAACCAGCATGTCTTAAATGAAGGACATCAAAGGGAGGTTGTGTGGAGAAGAAATTGCTTCAGTGGGCCCTGAGGTTCCTGGATGGGAAGGAAATTCAACTCATTTTTTACATGAAAGGTTAAAAAATGTCCTAATATCTAAGGAAATAATGTTTGTGTTCATAACTGAGGAAAAGTCTCTCACGGGTATGCAGAGATTTAGAGTTCAAAGCCCTTGCACAGATGTTACCTCATTACGTTATAGACATGAGCACCTTAGAGTCTTCATCCCTTTTAACCCTTGTCTAGGCTCAACCCTTACCACGGACTTGTCTCACATTTTGGGGCCTGTTGTACTTTTTAGGATGCTATGTGCACCTCCCCTCTGCTCATATAACCTTTTAAAAACTTTACATTATGGCAATACTCAGTAGAGAGAAGAGCATGAGAAGCTCTCATGTACCCATCTTCCAGCTTTGCCAATGACCATTTTGCCAGTTTTATCTGATAAATTCTGAAAAGCCCTTTCCCACTGACACCCACATGCACTTCTGGCTCAGGAAATGTCCCTGCCAGCAGGACAGCTACCTTGCCAGGAAGAAGATGTCCAGGATCACGCCAGCCTTCTGTTCTCAGCTCAGACCACTCTGACACCACGGTGTCATGGCAGAGCAAAGCGGGCATCTGTGGATACCACACACGTGCACTGAGCTCTTGCCCTGTGCCAGTCACTGAGCCAGAGCTGTGGTGGCATCAAAAAGGCAAGGACCCAAATCCTGGCCTTGGGTGCTCATATGCAAATAGGGAGATAAGTCACATATGATAAATCAAGCTTAGAACACAATGTCCTAAATGAACCAGCTCCCCTGCATCTCAGTCCAGCTTGATGTCTTTTTGGCATGCCTCTCTTGAAACTTACGCTTCCACCTTATGAAATTTCTGAAGCTGCCAAAATGACAACAGGCCACACCTCCCTGTCCCTACACACCTTCATCCCTCTGCCCAGAATGTTGACTTAGGCACAACACTTGCTCTGGAGGTTGAATAATGCCTCCCTAAAGATGTCCATGTCTTGATCCCTGGAACACGTGAGTATGTTACCTTACATGGCAGAAGGGACTTTGCAGGTGTGATTAAGTTAAGGATCTTGAGGTGGGAGATTATCTTGGGCCCAATGTCATCCTAAACAAGGGCACTTGGAAGAGAGGGGCAGGAGGATCAAGAAAGGAAGATGTAAGGATAGAAGTAGAGGTTGGAAAGGGGAGAAGGTGCTATGCTGCTGGCTTTGAAGATAGAAGAAGAGGCCACAAGCCAAAAAATGTAGGCAGCGTCTAAAGGATGGAAAAGCTAAGGAAACAAATTCTACCCTAGAACTTCCAGAAGGATCCAGCCTTGTTGACATTTTGACTTTAGCTTGGTAAAACTGATTTTGAATGTCTGACCAACAGAATTGTAAGATAATTTATGTTGTTTAAAGCCACTGAGTTTATAGTAATTGGTTACAGCCTCTGTAGGAAACGAATATGCCTGGTTACCACCTAGGTGTCCTCCAAGACTGGGATCAGACATCACCTTTCTGAGAAGCATTCCTTGACCCTTTCATTGATGTTACATCCTCTCTGTCCCCAGGCTAGGTTGGATAACCTTCTTAGGTATAAGTTGTCCTTAATTTCTCTCATACCACAGGCCACAGTACATTTTAATTGCATGTATACTTGCTTATCTTTGGTATAGATGGTGAGCTCCTTGAGTCTTCTACCTCTGCATTGTCAGCACTGGGCACAGTGCCAAGCACATGTCAAGTATTCAGCAGAGGTTTGTAGAATAAACAATAAAGGCTACAAGAAGCAAACACTAAGTGCAAAAGAGGAGTTCAGAAAGGGGGCAAATGCTACCACTGAGGGACAAAGAAGAGGAAAGCCCAGAAAGGTCCTCCTGGTAGAGGTGGCACATGAGTGTGTGGATCCTCTTACCAGGAGGACTGTAATCAGTTGTTATCAAAGTTAGACTGCAAATGTGAACACCACAGTCATTTAAACTGGAACAGAATGCAAGCACAGTCATCCACCAGGTGTGGACTGAGTGTAAGACTGCATGCTATGTCCTGTGGCAAGGAGCACTGCCAGGTTCATGGCGGTCACTTGTAGCTCACTGCCTTGACCTGTTCTCCCTGTGGGGACCCTCCTGACCTGGACAAATTCTAGACCTCAGGACGTGTCACAGGTCAAGTTCCTAGAGAGCACATAGAGATTAGTAGACAAGACATTTATTAGGGCATACTCTTGAGATTAATACCTATGGGAAGGATTCAGCAAAGGGTGAAGTTGAGTTATGGTGCAGTCTCCACAGAGCCTTATCTAGCCCTACAAAATGAGTCTTCAGAGTGGCCTTGAGTTGGGCCAACAGGGCTGAGCCATTATAACTCCATATCAATCAGTCATTAGCCAGGGGCAAACCTGGGAAGCAAGTGTGACCATGAGATTTGCTGAGCTGTCACAGGAGGCTGGCAGCTGAGGACTGCCTGTTGCAGATTTTTCAGTGAGTAGGGGAGCAGAACCAGGTGGTTCATCATTGAGTCACCACAGGATGAGTTTGCAATATGCAATTTACCATGCCTGGGGCTGCTCTCCACACAGGAGGGCACTGGCGAACAGGCAGGGCCTGCCTCACCTCTACCACGTGGAAACAATAGATGGCAGAGGTAGCAGCAAGGTCACAAAGTCTCTTCTGCTATCATTTTCACACAGAATCTAGCATTTTCACTAACTGTCTTTGGCAGAATTTGAAGCTTTCTCCCCAATGGTGACCTGACCCAAGGAGACAAATTACCGGTCTAGTTTTCATTAGGCCTGAGGCAGTTAATCCTTATGCCAAATTCTGGAGATCCCATTAGATAAAAGGAACTGGTGATGAGGTGTCCCATTCCCACTTTAGTGAATGGCTTTCTGAGAGGTGTCCCTTATAAGTATCATCAGTTCTGCCTTGAAAAGTGAGACGATTTAGGCCAGCAAGTGCCCAGAGAGGCCATCAAATTTTGATAGGTCTGTTTTCATGGAAACTGGACATTTCTTCACTTAATAGCAAAATGAACAGTGGCCAAGAGCCTGCAGTCTGAAGCTCTGCTCCCTCAAAGCTTCAGACACTGGGCTTGTACCACCTAAACCAAAGTCCTTTTAGCCCTGTTGCACACAGAGGGATGAAGGGCTTATGTTAATGACTTGCATAGGTTTGTTTTATCTATGGGCATGCTTTTGTCTGTCTTTTTTTTTTTTAACCTACTCACTATCTTATTTTACTGGACTTATATGTAGAAAAATAGCAGATGAGCCAAAAAGATGGACATGAAGGAGATGACATTGTCAACAGCTGGGTCCTTCTCCCAGGTCCACAGAACAGAACACACACATCTGAACATTTCTCATACTTGGATTTGCATTATGGATTTGGATATATGTCTGTCTCCACTACTTTCTTTGACAGCAAAAATGTTTTGCGATCACCTGTTTATCGCTGGCTGCCTAACCCAGTGTCAGGCAACAAAAGAACACTTGACTCATGAGGTATGTGTAAACCAGAGGTGAAAGAGCATTAGAAAGGAATGAAACATGAGTGTTCATCTGGAAAGAACACGGTCCCAAGTAAGGAACAGAAATAAAGGAAGTGCCAGGAAAAGCAAGCAGGTAGGAAAATGCAAGTGGGATGGGAGCCCTTCCCAATGTACTTTGTCTTGAAAAGCTGGCCCCAAATGTTTGTGTTCTCCTTCCAATCAAAAGGCAGGTCTTCACAATGGTGGTGCTCAGACCAAATGAATTCTATCTTAAAATCAAAAGATCCGGTTCAAATCCTGGCTGTGCTCTGGATCTCTCTGAACTCTGGTTTTCTACTCTGTAGAGTGAGGGTAAAAATATCTCTACTTCACAAAGCCACTGGGAGGATTGGGTGAGACAGTCTAAGTTGGTATGCTTTCCAGGGTCCCTGTAGGAAGCAATGTTGGGGAGATTTGCTTTTGAAAACACAACCAGGCCTGTGTTCAGTTTGCTCACACAAGGACCCAGCAAGAATAAAGGGTACATGGATGAGGCGTGGGGCCAGCCCGAAGGCACGAGAGCAGCAGTCCTCCAGATGCCACCACCATTTCCTTCCTGAAAGCCCTTGAACCCCACAACGTTATCTAAAAGATCGTCTCTTTACCCAGAGCTGCTCTGGGTCTCTGAGGTAGCAGTATTTGAAAGCCCTTGATGTGTCTTTAACAGTGAGTTGGAGAAGGTGATGGGACACATTTGAATCATTATCACAAGGCACGAACAAATTCTGCCTGTAATCTTTCTTTTCAAGTTTTAGCTATGCAGTGTTGATTCAAATACTGCAGTGTGTGTGTGTGTGTGTGTGTGTGAGTGTGAGAGAGAGAGAGAGAGAGAGAGAGAGAGAGAGAGAGAGAAAGTGGTGGGAGATGCGGAATGTCACTCCCCATGGTAGAGGAATAGACTGGGAGAGAAGACAGAAGATAGAATTTTTCTTGGGACAGGGGGCAAAAACTGACAGAGTTGACAAGCATCTAACATTTCTATTTCCCAAATCAAACTACTATGAGAAGAGAGTTCACTTTTACTTTGATTTTAAAAGATGTGCTTCAGTAACATTTTCAGATTTAAGAGAGAAGATTTCACTATTCATGGGGCAAATGCATCTCACAAACTTGGCCTTGTCGTATGTGCCCATCCACTTGTGCATGTTGGCTTCTTCCTCTAAATTATGATTCAATTCTATTTTAAGAGCGTCAGAAAATAGGGTGGTAATGAGTTGGGTAAAATCATCTTCTGAATTTGGCACTCTAAGGGCAGAATTTTTCTAAGGGTGGAACCATAGCCAGACAGCAATCAGAACTTGGAAAAATCCTGCTATCAACTCTATTTATAAAAATCATCTCTGTTTTAGTACCATGGCTGATTGTCATTCTACTCAATTAAGGGAGGCTTGGCCGGTTCTTAGAGTTCC